GAGGCGCTTAAGTCTTTCAGAAGGATCACCTTAAAGGTCAATACCATGAGAATGTCTGGTTATCGCGCACAAAATATTATAATGAAGTATTCTTGTGATTAATCTTGATAAAAAAAGCGACGAAATCACTTCCTCGCGCCTGACTTACCTCGGTAACGTGCCCGAAATCCTGCAAATTCTTTAGAAATATCTGACGTAAATCTTACGTAAAGGTTGTTAGACGTGCTCGTCAAAGATTGCCTAGGCAAAGTATCTCCAAACAAAGTACCAATCAAAGGAGAAGAACGCGATACACCATCGTACACAGTGACGATATCGACCTTGTCCTCAGTATTCAAACGGATGAAGACGAGCTCAATATGTCCATTTGAGGTTATATTCCATGTACAGTCCATGTTACTTTTGTAGGTCTCTACGAGACCACGTATGGGGGCATCATTGGATTCGATATACCCGGTTGAGTCTGACTGCCATACGGTCAAATTGGTACAAGAAGATATTACTGTGGCATTCGGTACTGTGGAGTTAATCAAATGATTAAATCAACACGATCATTTCTAAAACTAGCTTGATCAGTGAGTGCACTGTTTAAATTTTTCTATCAGTAAGGGGCATTTCGCCGTTTAAATTAAATTTTTTGGAAACTCATCCACTGACAAATAAAGAGCAAACTGGTCAGTATGAAAAGTGTAAAATAAGTGTCTAAAGAGAACAATAGGTATTACAGGCGTTTTAATTACTTTGCAGAAACTTACCCCCACAAGTTTTCCCTGTTCCCGCTAAGCCAGGCGCACATCTACATCTATAGGTACCAGGAATATTTTCGCAACGAGCTTTGACATGGCATTTGTAGGTCCCCAAGTGGCATTCATCCATATCTGTTTCGCGTAGAAATAATAAGCAAAGCTTTCTAGAATAAAAGTTATTTGTTTTTTATTTATTCCAGAGATCAGTCTTTTAATTTCATACTTATTATCAAATTCTGCAGTTAACCGTCGGGGGATAAGAAGTGTGAATAAAACAAACGTACTCTTACTTTCAAAGTGAAATTCTAAGACAACATATTTTATATATACTTATTACTTAAATTATTCATTTATTAAGTTGTTAAAATTTACAAACCTTCGCAGTCCTTGTTTGCATCCAAACGGAAACCCCTATTACACTTGCAGGTGTACGAGCCCTCATTGTTAATGCAATGGGAATCTAGTGGACAGTGATAATTGTAGTCTGTACACTCATCATAATCTGAAAAAAAAGATTAAACAAAAGAACAAGTACTTAATTATTTAGGTTATTTTGCTAATAATATCCCGCATAACGAAGGAAAATCTAATGTACTCAAAATCTTTATCACAGCTATCCAAAATGAAACAAAGCATCTAGCATAATATTGAAGGTTCCGCATTCAATCTTCATTTGAGCCGCAAGTGCTTTATTCACAGTTATTTAACTAACCTTTCTTGCAGGTAAATCTATGACAATCAGTGCAGTTCACGTCATTCCATTCGTAGTGATGATTTTTGAGGAAGCCAAGGGTATGAACACAATCTTCATTGCCATAGTTGTTTGGTTGGCCCTTTGCCCAGTTCTTGAATTTTAATTGACTCCCATCGCTCCACAAAAACGTCCCCTCAGAGTTTATATCAGTGAGCCCAAGCCAAGAGTGGTCCCCGCCATGTAGACTCTGGACATAAACGTTTTCTTCCTGGCTGTGTATACTTGGAAGGTTCGCTCCCTGAGTGGCACATTTTCCCTGGCTACTACCCCAAGAGTCACACGCAGCTACTTGTCGATAGCAATACCCTCTAAAATAATTCCAATCATCGTCACAAATGCTGTCTGTGAAATAAAAACAATAGGTTCATCCTATGTTCAAACCAGTTTTCCAAAATGCGTTGCCGGTATTTATTCGCTAACAACCGCTACTGTGTCCTATTTTATCATTATTGTCGCCAATTTTTTGTTTACTTATTTTTTTAAACTTTTTATAATTTTATCTTTCAGAAAACCTGAAACTTCAATCATCTCTGATATTTTATCTCACGAGAAGTACAAAGTAGATAGTTTCCTTACCTCCCATCACTGCATATGAGACGTTCAAAGGGTCAAACCGTTGCACATACAGCTCTTTCACACAAATTCGAAATCCAGACGTTGTGATAGACTTGGAGGCAAAAAATGAAACATTTATGTTGACCAATTAATTTGATGGCTAGCCAAGATCAATCTTCTAACGGTTTTTGGCGCTATTCAAGATTCAGAATTAGAAGCGAAAAAGTATACTCAGTAACTGAAACGAACGTAAAATCAACGTTATAAAAACATCACAAACGCTTGGGCAAAGCAGTTTCTGGGAAAGTAAACTACACCGACGCGATAATATCTCCACCCCCCTATTGTGGAAAATAATTATGAGGAAGAAAAGGCAGAGCTTTACATGGTAGTTCAGAAGCAGCCAGCTACCTAAATATTTTGCGGTAAATGTCGTTACCTCGATCCAGCTTACGATTCCATTGCACTCTGCAGCAGCATTCCCTCCACTGGTAGAATGCTTGGGAGTGACCAGCACTGCTGGTGGGTAGGTATAAGCCGGTCGAGAGTAGGTCACATCCTTTTGGGTAGATCAGTTGTTAGTCAATATAACTGGTCAATAAGTGAATCGAGAGATTGACCAGTTATTCGCAAACGCAAAATTCTAGTTCACAAGGAAATAACTGAGATAGCTTTAATTACTTCAAATTGAATGGAATCAATGATTTGGGGCTTTTTACATATATCATGGCCCTTACGTGTACATGAATCATATGCCGTGCATATCACAAGAGTGCATCGCAGAACTAGCNAGAAGAACGCGATACACCATCGTACACAGTGACGATATCGACCTTGTCCTCAGTATTCAAACGGATGAAGACGAGCTCAATATGTCCATTTGAGGTTATATTCCATGTACAGTCCATGTTACTTTTGTAGGTCTCTACGAGACCACGTATGGGGGCATCATTGGATTCGATATACCCGGTTGAGTCTGACTGCCATACGGTCAAATTGGTACAAGAAGATATTACTGTGGCATTCGGTACTGTGGAGTTAATCAAATGATTAAATCAACACGATCATTTCTAAAACTAGCTTGATCAGTGAGTGCACTGTTTAAATTTTTCTATCAGTAAGGGGCATTTCGCCGTTTAAATTAAATTTTTTGGAAACTCATCCACTGACAAATAAAGAGCAAACTGGTCAGTATGAAAAGTGTAAAATAAGTGTCTAAAGAGAACAATAGGTATTACAGGCGTTTTAATTACTTTGCAGAAACTTACCCCCACAAGTTTTCCCTGTTCCCGCTAAGCCAGGCGCACATCTACATCTATAGGTACCAGGAATATTTTCGCAACGAGCTTTGACATGGCATGTGTAGGTTCCCAAGCGGCATTCATCCATATCTGTTTCGCGTAGAAAGAATAAGTAAAGCTTTCTACTTGGAATAAACGTTATTTGTTTTTTGATTTATTCCAAAGATCAGTCTTTTAATCTCATACTCCATATCAAATACTGCAGTTAACCGCTGGGGGATAAGAAATGTGAATAAAACAAACGTACCCTTACTTTCAAAGTGAAATTCTAAGACAACATATTTTATATTTACTTATTACTTAACTTATTCATTTATTGTTAAAATTTACAAACCTTCGCAGTCTTTGTTTGCATCCAAACGGAAACCCTTATTACACTTGCAGGTGTACGAGCCCTCATTGTTAATGCAATGGGAATCTGGTGGACAGTGATAATTGTAGTCTGTACATTCATCATAATCTGAAAAAAGATATCAAAGAAATACTAAGGTATTTAGGGTATTTTGATAATCACATCCCGCATAACGAAGGAAAATCTAATGTACTTAAAATCTTTATCTCATGTATCCAAAATGAAACAAAGCATTTAGCATAATATTGAAGGTTTCGCATTCAGTCTTCATTTGAGCCACATGTGCTTTACTTACGTTTATTTAACTAACCTTTCTTGCAGGTAAATCTATGACAATCAGTGCAGTTCACGTCATTCCATTCGTAATGGTGATTTTTGAGGAAGCCAAGAGTATGAACACAATCCTCATTGCCATAGTTGTTTGGTTGGCCCTTTGCCCAGTTCTTGAATTTTAATGGGCTCCCATCGCTCCACACAAACCTCCCCTCAGCGTTTATATCAGTGAGCCCAAGCCAAGAATGGTCCCCGCCATGCAGGCTCTGGACATAAACGTTTTCTTCCTGGCTGTGTATGCTTGGAAGGTTCGCTCCCTGTGTGGCACATTTGCCCTGGCTACTACCCCAAGAGTCACACGCAGCCACTCGTCTATAGCAGTACCCTCTAAAATAGTTCCAATCATCGTCACAAATGCTGTCTGTGAAATAAAAACAATAGGCTCATCCTATGTTCAAACCAGTTTCCCAAAATCCATTGTATTTACTCCCTAGCAACCGCTACGGTGTCCTATTTTATCATTATTATCGCAATTTTTTATAGATTTATCGTTCAGAAGACCTGAAACTTCAATCATCACGGGGATTTTATCTCACGAGAAGAAGTACATAGTAGATAGTTTCCTTACCTCCCATCACTACATATGAGACGTTCAAAGGGTCAAACCGTTGCACATACAGCTCTTTCACACAAATTCGAAATCCGGACGTTGTGATAGACTTGGAGGCAAAAAAGTAAAAAAATTGTGTTGAGTGATTAATTTTTGTTATTCCTATCTCCTGCTTACATGTAAATTTGGTGGCTACCCAAGAACAACCTTCTAACGGTTTTTGGCGCTATTCAAGATTCATTATTAGAAGCGAAAAAGTATTCTCAGTAATTGAAACCAACATAAAATTAACGTTATAAAAACATCACAAGGACTTGGGCAAAGCAGTTTCTGGGAAAGTAAACTACACCGACGCGATAATATCTCCACCCCCCTATTGTGGAAAATAATTATGAGGAAGAAAAGGCAGAGCTTTACATGGTAGTTCAGAAGCAGCCAGCTACCTAAATATTTTGCGGTAAATGTCGTTACCTCGATCCAGCTTACGATTCCATTGCACTCTGCAGCAGCATTCCCTCCACTGGTAGAATGCTTGGGAGTGACCAGCACTGTTGGTGGATAGGTATAAGCCGGTCGAGAGTAGGTCACATCCTTTTGGGTAGATCAGTTGTTAGTCAATATAACTGGTCAATAAGTGAATCGAGAGATTGACCAGTTATTCGCAAACGCAAAATTCTAGTTCACAAGGAAATAACTGGGATAGCTTTAATTACTTCAAATTGAATGGTATCAAAACAATTAGTCAAAGGCGAGTCTGAATGTCTAAACTAGTCTAATGATTTGGGGCTTTTTACATATATCATGGCCCTTACGTGTACATGGATCATATGCCATGCATATCATAAGAGTGCATCGTTGAATATCGCAGAACTGGCACAGTGCCTCGTCAGGTGAAAATCCCAAGGGGCTTATAAAATATCCAAGACGAAAAACCCCGAGAAAACTCGGAAGTACTGGAGAACTTGAATAATACATGATTGGTTCTACTTTTGCATCCGAAAAGCTCATTGGATGGGACAAATTTTGTAAATAAATCACTGATAAAAAAAACAAACAAACAAACAAACAAAGAAAACAAGATAATAAGAAGAGGGAGAACAAAAAGTGTAACTGCGGTTTACTTTGAAACTTATATAATTTTTTTTCTGTCAGTGCTTCATTCATCCAAAAAAAACTACCTAATCACTTTTGAGGGACACTACACTAACCTTACAAAAAGCATAGTTAAACTTGATTGATGGTAAACCGGTGTTGGGAAAGCTGACCACACTGCTCTCTTTGAACATTGGTCTCGGTGTTTTGCCAAATGCCAACCAATTCTGAGACAAAGAGATAAATCAGTAAATTGTGAGAAAGGAGAATGATGTTCAGCTGCTGAAACATGGGCAACCTAATTAAGGTTTTCGAATAAGTTAGTCTTAAACTACTGTCCCACTTCTATTAGGGGCATGGTAGGAAGTGTTACTTTCAAAAATTCTTAACTTTAAGTTTTTCTCTGCCAAGTATTAACATATAGAGATCAAGATAATACTTTCAGTCAATAATTGTTAGACATTGAAGTTTTATCCTTCGTCACCGATTTTTCTAACCTAAATTCTCCTGGAATTTTCCATCGTAAAGCGCCACGAGCTTACTGATATGATATCCTTTCGTTATTGTTACCATGTTATTTATTATCAGCTAGAGTCAAACTTCAAGGGCACAGCTAAGTTGGAGTTTATAACACTAACCACTGAAATATCGTCATGAACTCCTGCAAAGTTTTGAAGCTCCCTGAGGCAGATCTTAAAAGAATTTGTAGAAACATCCTCAAGCCACACAGAGGCGGCATCGTGCCTGAGGCTTGATCTGTAATGGACAGCTGTTGCAAAGATCGACGGTGGCTCAGAATACTTTCCCTAAAGTAATGGGAAGGATAAAATTTTGAATGTGAAGGAAGACTAATAGAAACCCTTCCATTCGACCTTTATCGGGCCAATTTCTGTTACTGTAATAAACGGTTTATTAAATTAACAATTGAAACAATGACAAGGTTATTCTTTGGTAAGCTCAGTTTCAACGTCTCGCGCTTGAAATCAATAAAAATGTGTCCTCTTCTAGTTTTCATTGAATAAATTGTCCCGAAGAAATGCAGAAGTGCTTTATGTATTTATTTGTTTGTCTTTTGTGAAAAAGGATTATCACAAAAGACTTTCTGAAGTGGGAGATTTCCGTCTATCAGTGAGACATATAGAGGGCCCCCCTTAGGAGACTCTATATGATATCACTCAAAAAAAAATCACAGATTAGCACATACGTTTGGAAAAGTGACTGTCCTGCAACTAGTTCCAGTCCACCAAGTTAGGAACATTTCTTCTCCTGCTACTCCTCCAGGTGGGGCTCCCTGATAGGCCACCCAGTCAATTGAAGCGAAGCTGTCTGCGGGGTAATCATTCCTTCCAGCTCGAGTGACGCAGGCTGTGAACTGAGTGGTGTTGATGCTCTCGACCCAAGGCGTGGTCGCTTCGTGTACCAAAGTGTCGTCTGAATAATTGAAGTGGTTAACAGTGAGTTGGACGTATATTTTCATATGAGGATAGAAAATAAAGGGTTTAAACTTGATCTCATCGCACTGATCTTCGGCCCACGATGGAGTAGTCTGGAACTCGTGTCTTCCTTTCTGCATTGGGAAACCTACAATTGAATTTTGATGGATCTGCTAAGTTTAAGAAGTGAAGTATATAACAGTAACAGTTTAATTTCCAGTTCTGATACGAACAAGCAAACAAAAACGACATCATAATTAGATAACAAAAAAAAAATGAACAAGCTCAAAAACAATAACAGGAAAACCCCAAATGTTCCGAGATAAAATTTATTTTCCGTACGACTAACTCTCGTGAGGTTCTTCTCGTCTTACCCTTTGTGCCAGTTAAAGACAAAATTGCATTGCACGTGGTAAATCCTGTCTAGTTTGTGGGTCGTTATGAAAGAAACTTCAAATAGATAAGAGTGGTTGAGTACAAAGAAATAGACGTTCCGCAACAGAAGGAAATTGGGAATAAAATAAAGAGCATGTCGGGGAATAATGCCAGGGAAGAACACGGTGAATTTCGGAGGAATTGAACTGCGAATATGTAATGATTATTACCTCTGCAGCTCCCGGGGTGATAGTTCGTGTAATTTCCACGTGTTTCGCAAATTTTTTTTTTGAGGAAACACATGTTCTTGAAAGTTCGACCATTTGAAGCACAGACTTGTTCCTCGTATGATGGGCAGTCATCTTTGCAGATACAAGCAAATCTCCAGGGAGTATACGCGTAGCAGAAGCTTTCGTAGGTGCAGTTAACATCTCTACACGGATCAAGATCTGAAAATAGAGCATAGGGTCAAGTTGATTTATAAATTTTGATGATAATTCAGACATAAAGGGAAAGCAGAGGGCAAAAAGAGGTTTTAGATTAAGAGCATGTAGCAAACAAGAAATGAGGATAAAAGCATGTGAGCAATGCAGTGTAAATCTCTCCATATTTCATGCAGAACAATAATATTTACGGGGTTTAACGAGGCACCTGGTAATATTAGGTATATTGCACCTAGACTAATATTTTGACACAAATTGACGACTGAGAATAAAAATGAAGGCCCCTGCTCCTCACTTTTGATTTGAAAATAATGAATGAATAAATATCGTGCAGAATGTAATTGTTTCAGAAACCGTTTTTCATTATTACCTCCAATGACGAAGTAGTCTATTTCCACATCACTTCTTTGGCGACCATATGCTGTGTGGTCTTTCATACAAATTCGGAAATGAGTCTTAGTCACTTCCTACGACAAAGGAAAATAAAATGATAACAAACCGGTGACTAGATGACCGACTGCATCAATCAAAACTACAGAATAATTTCTGAAAGTCAACAATCATTAGTTGCATTTGAAAGTAAGAGAGAGGAAAAGAATTGTGAGATAGATAGATATATAGATAAATTTATTTCAATTCGAGATGTACAATGAGCCAGCGACTCGTACTAAATACATTCGGACATGTAAAATTCTACGTCTGCAGTTAACTAAAAGTATACCGATACTGTATATTAATATAACGAGAATATAAATTAATTGATATAATATACATCCTAAAAAAGAATACATTATGTGGTAACATGGTTTCTAGTAACTAGTAAAGTATTATTACTCGTGATAAATATACTAAAAATAAATGTTAACATGAAGAACTGGTAATGTAAAAAAAAAAGAAAGTTTGATGAAAGAAAAAAAAAAGAAGGTTTGATGAAAGAAAAAAAAAAAGAAAGTTTGATGAAATGAAAGAAGGGGAAGGTAAAGAAAACAAACAGATAGAAACAACCATTAAAACGAAACAAAAACAAGAGAAGAGTAACGTTAAATGGGCCATTATGACAACGCAAAAGTCTGGTTAATATAAATTAAGTGTAACTTGACATCTTTTTCAATACAAGTTATATTATAGAAATCGTGAACATTAAATCTCGCATCCCTTTAAAATTTGATCTAGACCTGTTTCATATAATTAGTAAATGGAAGACTGATTGATTCAAGCCTTACCTCCATCCAGGTAAGTAAAGGCTCTTTGTGGTCATGATCACAGCCGTCATTCGACTTGTTACCTTTGGCGGCACTGTAAATAGTGGCGAGTACGACGGGTGGTTGAAAGAATGGCTCGTCATATTTGATCGTCTATTAAATTGAAATGAAAGGATGATATGATTATCATCTATCAAATCGAGATTTTTGCAAGCGTCATTGCTTTCCAAATGTGACTACTCGCTCTCGAGCCAAATGAAACAAATTTCCTTCCTCTAAAAGGCCAGGCCTAAAAGTATAAATATAGTAACTTTGGCTTGGATGATTGCTCTTCGAGATAATATTTCTATAAAACAAACAAACAAAACTTGGAACTGGTTAGGCTAGGATCCTAATAAATTACAATGACTTAATTTTGCGCTGACATAAGACCATTAACGAAGGACCCTGTTTAAAAACGCTTAAAGCCATAGGTTCGCGACAGTTCATGAACACAATACTTAAATAAGGTAATTACTAAAATACATACCTTGCACAGGGCATACTTGTTTTGGGCTGAGGGTAACTCCTTTCCGGAAAATAGGATTTTCTTTGATTCTTTACCTTTCCACGTTGAAGGATAATTCTCGTATGCCATCCAGTTCTTGAACACGACAAAAATAAAACGAGGAAGAAAAATTGGGCTGAGAAACTTAACAACCTCAGATTAACACTAATTTGTTGAGATGAAAAAATATTTCTAAGCCTTCTAAGTGCATGACCACACAGCCTGGAGATACAGAGGGTAGCACTGGACGTAATTTGAACTTGATATCCTTTATCTGAGTTCGAGAAAATTTAGAACGAGAAACGGACGGAGGAAAAGGAAAAGTCAGTATCAAACTGAAACTTTACGATGAAGAATTACATACACATTGTCACTTAAACAAATCTTTAAAATGCGATCACTTTTGAGCAGTGAAATGGTAAAGGTAAAGTGAACCAACAAATAGAGTAAATAACAAACAACATCATCACCAGGACAGGAGCAAACAAAAAACATAAAAAGGCTATACGACAAAACAACTCCGAAAAATATTACCGGCAAAACGATCACATGGACAGAATAACGGCTCACCACTTTGAGTCCCTCATGAAGTCCATCTAATACCCTTGACTCTTGCAAACAAACTTCAAATTCGCTCGACGAAAGACTTTCAATCCAAACCAGCATCGCGTCGTGCTTCCGGTCTTTTTTAGTATGATGAGCGGTGACGTGAACTGTAGGAGTTCCTTTGAAGACCTGAATTTAACAAAAGAAAAAAGCATAATGTTAAATGTCGCAACATAGTTTTAGCCAAGAAAAAAGAGGCCGATGGCTAAAGTGGCTTCTGGATTATCTTTAATGCCAAAAGATGGATGCCAAAACATAGATGCCAGAGAAATTGTTCAGAGTGAGGTAAGTCAAGGATCGTTCAATTGAGGCATTTATGCACGGAGCACTTCTGTTAGGAAAACTGAAAATGCACAAATACCTTTAAAAAATAAGCAACGAGAAAGGTATGGCACAACAGATGGCTCTTTACAAACCGCAGCTTTGATTTAACCGAAACCAAATTCAATCGAGCGCAGGGATCGAGATTTCAACGCAGGGCTCGTTTGAAACATAGCGCCATTAACCACTTGGTCACGCAGCCTCTTAAAAATCAAATAATCTTACATTCTTAAATGTCACCCGGTTGCACTGCGATCCTGTGGTGAATTTACTAAACAATGTTGCCCCATGTTCAGCTCCTGTCTGTGGACCTTGAAATGCAAACCAGTCTATAGTGAAGTTATCTCCCGCACCTCTGCCTCCTTCAACAACACAGGCCTCGAAGCGAACGCTGCTCACTTCTTCTATCCAAACAAAGATAGAATCGTAGACGCTGGACGATCCATTTCCACGGTTTACTGAGGCGAATACGCTCACTGGTGTTCCCTTCTTGAAACTTTTGCTAAATGTAGCTTTCTGGCAAAGATAATCGTCATTCACTTGGCTAAAGTGAATTTTTCCTCTCTCGATGACTGAAACAAATTATATAATTCAGCTAAGTTAACCTCGTGATACTGTCAGCGTATTTATGAAGCATCCCTCAGTCCTCAAATAATCAAAACACAAGAAATTATCGGAAAATACCAATAAAAACTCAAATTAAAACAAGTAAACTGCTAAAGGCGCATATAAGACGAAGAGGCATGGAAGACAAAGAGTATGGAGGAGTGCGTGACAAGTAGAATGACCTATTCAAATTGCAATTCATTGGCCGACATGGCGACGCGAGTTTGACGAACCAATTAGCCAAAGCGATGAAATAAGACAATAGCAGTCTTGTTTGCTTTCAATGCCCTTAACAACATTGTTTTGTGGTTTCAATGCGGGCGTAACGAAGGGAAGGTCACTTTTGCAGATCAAAATTCAACCTTTTAACAGTTATTGTTATTTCACTGTGTTTTTCTTTTTACATGTCTCTTAATTTTTGAGAGAAAATAATAAACGATGCCCTCAGAGAGGAATGAGTTTCTCGATCATTTTCTAATCCGGTTTTTGTAATGTACTATTCGTCTGCTTGAACTGATTTTCATAAAGTTTTCTATGCTAGGAGACATGATTGATCCATTGTTCTCATTTCGATTTAAAGGTGCATCATATTATTTACATTTAGAAGTCTCTCTAAAACCACATTTCAGAATACACATGTGTAAAGCTGCAATTCGTTCTTTGTAGCCTTCTCAAGATGCTTCTGACTAACAAACCGATTCTCATCCCTTTTAATTTTCATAATTAAAAATATTATGACTGGGAGTAGCGGTTGTATATTTATTCTTCGAGATACTAGGAGTTTTACGACCATTTAAAAGAGGCGGGTATTTATCCAATGTGTCATAATAATCGAATCACTGAGTAGCTGTATCTGCTTTGTTTGTCCTTGAAGCTATTAACTGCCATGCAAATTTAATCAAACTGAAATATTAGTACTTTCAATTAGTCGGCAAAATGATCTAATCTTCAGAATTAAAAATTAGTATTAAAAGAAAATGAACCAGCTCTATCTGCTCCGACACGACTTTGGCAAATTTCAATCCTTAATACCGCAGGAGTTTTACAAAGCGTAAAACTCGATAAGGAAACATGAATAATAAAATAAATTACAAAAAACTCACTATTTCCTCCGGCACAACTCAGCATAAAGACAGTAACCAGCACCAACGATAGTTGCCCTGCAGACAGCATCATCGCCCCACTGTGTAACTTCGTGTTTGCACCACTCCTTTGGAATGAAAAATTCATTAAAAAAAAAGTGAATTTACGAGTTGGTAAGATGATAGCATGACTCCAATGGCAAGTGCGCACGCAACCTGGGAAGTCTTGGGATCATCCGTTTCAGCACAATATGGACAGATTGCGCTTTGACGGGGTCACCAGAACAATGGTAATTGAAATGGGACAAATCGACTTATTTTGATATCTTATAAAGATCAGAGCGGTATTCTAGGTGAACAAAAAATTCCTGCGAAACACGCAAAAGCCGTCAAGTCTTTCGAGAGGTCTTGAAAATCATCCAACTGAGATTAGCTATTCATTCAATTCACTTAAGGTACAGGGAGACATCTCGTTAGAACTTTTTAAATATTGACTCTCCGTGAAGAAAAAGAAGGAACACTTCATATCTACTGGCTTCAAAAGAAATTTCCCTTTTATTCGCAGTCAACGTGTTTTCTATTAAGGTTTGTTCTGAGACGTAATGTTTAAACCGGATTAATTGTGAATGACTGAGATGCATGCAATTCTCCGGAAGAACATAATCCCACTCTGCAAGAAAAGACAACATTAATATTGTTGCACTGTAGGGAAATACAAAAATGAAAGCCAATTCCTTCCACAAAAACGACTTTTCTAAGAGACTTTTGATATTTGTAAAAGGTCTCAGTGTCATATCTTAGTCGCATTTTCCTATCACAGTGTATTGCGTAAGTGTCTCTGCCAAGTCACGCCTGAGAAATGTTTTCAAGTTTAACCCTAATCCGGTATTTTGAAGCAGGCGTTAAGTCTTTACAAACCAAAAAAAGGAAAGAGAAAATTATCAAAATGACTGTCGCTATCCGATGTATGCAATTTAGTTCTGTTGGTATACGGAAAAATCCCCAAATACCGCAGTGTATATTTCTCTTTGCGTGAGCGTTTTATTCTTGTTCGTGACTGAAGCATACTCGGAAAAATAGATGGGGCTCAAACCTTCGTATCTTCCATTATTGAGCTGTAATAAATTCGTAACTGTTAAACTATTCTGGTCGAATGCATATTTGCCGATCTGATACTTCTGTGCGATGTTTCCACGTAGAATAGAAGATGGCACCTTTAGTGTTTGTTATGTAAGAAAGGACGGTAAGTGATTGATAACGAGCCGATATATCAGCGCTTAAACGAGATCACATTCTTGATTATAACTTTTTAATTATACCGTGATTTAGACACACGAAGCAATGTAGCATTTTAACGAAGACGCTGATAATTTCAAATTCAAATGCATGAAAAGGTGAAAAGGACACTCGCACTAACTTTGTACTAACGTTTTATTCTAGCTCAATCGAGCACTGTTTTTCAGCTTAACGAAATCCTACAAACATATTATCCATACATATATATATATATGTATAGATAATATATGTATGGAGTTTGACTGATGAGTGGATCAACTTTTGTTGGTCTACGAAACAGGCTGTATTAAAATCCATATGTGCGTAACTTGAGTAGTCCATTTGCTACTCTAATCGCTCCTTCATTGTCGAGCACTGTCCTGGATCCTACGTTGCCTATTTCGCTTATATATATATATATATATATATAGATATATGAGATGAGTGAGCAATCACGAAACAGGCTTATAGGGATAAAAGCGGAGTCGTTGTTTTTTTCTAACCCAACATATTCTGAGCTCTACTTTTATTTATCGAGCACTGTAATGCAGATAACGCTTTGACGACCTCGGCCTTTTCCACTCAGAGGAAGGGAAAGTCCCTCTATTTTATATAAACGGGCCAAGAGCAAATCTCATTTTTGCTTAAGTAGGCGACCTCTCAAAGGAATCAAAAAGACAGATGGAGTTGATCCGGTGTTTCATTATTTTCGTTCCTTAATTGATTTTAATCAACCGAGGAGAGGCCAATATTGAATAGTTTTCGCTGATTCTAATTCACTATGCATATTTCAGTGGGCGTGACATGAAAGCCATCTTGGACTTCACCCAAAAACCCATTGATGAATGTTTGGTATGGATAACTAAGACGAGGTCAAGATTAAAAAAACACCGAGACAGATTATTCTCTGAAAGGTTTTAGTTAATTTAGTGTTGACAAATACTTTTTTTTTCCTAAGGGAATACTATAAGTGACGCTTGCTCGAATAGGAGACGTGATCGCAAATTGAGTGGAGTGCGTGAGTTGGAAATTCTAAAATCATATTGTACTCTTATTACAAAAGTTTTCTACTAAGAAGAAGTACTGTACCGAAGTACTGCCCGGAGGGGAGAGTAGAAGTTAAAGACGGATATAAGGAGGAGTGGGCCCCTATACGAATTATTGGAATGGGGGGGGGGACTTGGAATCTTTCCTAAATGGACAAATCCTAATATACTGCTCAATTAAGATTAGTGTGGGGTTAATGAGGACTAAGCGCCATATTACTCATCGTTTCTTTTTTTTTTACGGCGCTGAAATGTATCAATGTGTGCGAGCAAACCGATTTATTTCGTCGTCAAGAAATGTAATTCTAGAATTTCCTTGAATAAAACAGCTTGAAATAGGAGTTAAATCTATCATTTTTAATTATTGTTTAGCCTGCCGCTACATTTTTAGAAAATAATCACACTGAGTTAAAACCACTTTTCCAAAGCTGCATGAGGCTATTTTTTATAACTTCGAGTTCTAGCTCTCGCCATTTCTTACAAGTATTTTCGGTCAGAGGTTTAACTTAAGCTTATGCCTTTGAGAATCAAATACAGATGTCTAAGTACAAATCGAGAGAATCTGAGAACATTTAAGATATCAGTGTTTGAGTATGTTTTATGGGAGCAACCTTCTAATTATGGCAAACCGCACTTGCATCCCCATGATGACCGCAGCTGTGATACCAACGATACCAGCGGCGATACCACCCATAGTAGTAATAATAGTAGTAGTAGCTCCGATTTTCATACGGACAGTCCAGCAAAGATTCTTCTTTGCCTTCGCAGGAGATGGGATATCGATGGATAGGACCAGAGCCTTGCCCATAAGCTGCACCGCGAGGCGCGGAGGTTGCACCTTTGAAGCCCAACTCACGGCAGACGACATTGGCATCGTTCAAATTCCAGGTGTGGTCACACACGGTGCCCCATTTACCTCCTTCATAAATTTCAACACGGCCATAGTGGTGGGATCCTCCTGCTAACCGAACGACAGAAGAACCATGGGTGCACTTCACACTGGCGTCCCGTTTATGGGTGCAGTCGTGCTTTCCCCATCCTCGATGCCTGCATTTGTGGAGATAAGACTCACGTCCTGAACAAGACAAGTCGTCAAGCCATATCGGTCCGCTTCCTTCACCATGGTGAGCGCCCTTATAAGCTTGTATGGCTCTTTTGAAGCCAAGCTGTTTACATATTACGTTCGCATCATTCAAGTCCCAGGCATCGTCGCAAATGGTCCCCCATTTGCCATCGTAGAAAACCTCCACTCTGCCAGTTGATCGGCTGGTGCTGTTTATGCGTACGCTTCCATCGGTAATAGCTGGCAATAAAAGCACATGAATTTTACCCTCGACTAAGGCACGAAATTCGAGCAGGAGAGTGTCAACATTTGAATAAAGTAATCGCCTCGTTGCCTTGAATGAACCGGCTAGAATTAAAACTAACCATATTGGACATCCAAGTCACAGAGGCGTTTAAAATTTAGAAAATGGGTTTTTTTCCGATGACTGTGACAGAAACTGTACTGATATGGAAATGCAAGCAATTGATAGCAAGGTTGTGAAAGTTTCACTAAAAGCGATCGTCGCTTTTACTAACTCTAAAGTAAGAAAGCTAGCTATACCATCCAATGGCTATAGTTTTGTTTTGCTGACCAATCGTCAGAATTTGGCGTCTTAGAGATGCAATAACAATACTAATCCTCTGACGATAGTTATCTTAATCTCTTAATCGTGTGGTAATGCGCCAGAATAGTGGTTGATCACTCAAAGTTAACTAGCTCATTTACGTATATCCATTTGCTTTTACGATGGGCTGATGCTCGAAATGTCGCCTTACGAAACTCTTTACGGTGACCAATTTCAATTATCAACCAAGTTGGTAAAAGCAAATTATCTTGCTATACTATACCGACGCAGCACCACAGTTTCTTTACAAACTTACCCCTTAACTTTACGTTTACTTCTCACTTAAAACCACCCTACCTCGATAACGTGCACGAAATCCACGAAATTCCTTGGAGCCGTCAGAAGTAAATTTCACCTGAAGTTTGTTGGATGTACTTGTCAAAGATTGCTTAGGGAGAGTGTTTCCGAACAGAGTGCCAATCACAGGAGCAGATTTTGACAACCCATCGTACACGGTAACGATGTCCACTTTATCCTCGGTATCCAAACGTATAAATACAAGTTCAATATGTCCATTGCTGGTTATGTTCCACGTGCAATCCATTTTGCTTTTATAGGTTATTGATGCTCCAGGCTCATTTGACTCAATATATCCCATTGAATCGGACTGGACAACAGTCACATTTGCACACGACGGTATTACCGTGGCGTTAGGTGCTGGGAAGTTTAAATTAGAGAAAATTTAATTTCTTTAATTAGCTTTGTTTCAAAGTGCAGTGGACTGTAATTGCTGTTTTTCCTCAAGTGATAATGCGAGAACAAAATGATGGTGCAAGTCGCTCTGAAATTGCTGTGTAAGCCAAGTAATTAGTTGAAAATGGCCAAATACAAAGCGCGAAATTTTACTCAGAGGAAGAAGGAGGGTGATAAGTTTCGGTGCGATCATTTACTTACCACCGCAAGTCTTTCCGGTTCCAGCCAACCCTGGAAAACATCTACATTTGTAGGTTCCAGGAATATTCTCGCAGACAGCTTTTGCATCACACGTAAACGTTCCCAATCGACATTCATTCATATCTGTTACCAGAAGAGAAATAAAACAAGAACTGGGCTACAATAAATGTATGGTTCAACTAAAAAAAAATTGATCTCGCCAATACAAATGTTGCGTGATATTTGCTCAGTTCTGTATGTTTCAATGCAAAATGAAGAATGGGGCACTTAACTCAACACTATCATTGGTAAGTGTATATAAAAGAGGAAAAAGGACTGCAGCCCTTCTCAGATCTCAGCAGTAAAGAATTCTACTTATGGACTGAAACATAAAATCTGCACGTTTTGACAAAATGACAGTGCTCTGAGATCGTTTGCTAGGCTCTCAAGTTTACATGGTAAACAATAAAATACCTTTTCAAATAGAATTGTACCAACCTTCGCAGTTCTTGTTCGCATCTAAACGGAATCCTTTATTACACTTGCAGGTGTAAGAGCCGTCGCTGTTAATGCAGTGGGAATCAGGCGGGCAGTGATAATTATAGTCTCTACATTCATCATAATCTACCGGGAGAAGAACAATTTTGATGGCAGTTAAGAAAGATAATGAAAAATGCATAATGGGCCAAATTTTGCCTATCGTGCATGGAGGTAATAACTATTTGTATTTAAATCATGCTTATTAACCGATGAGAAGATTTCCACCACTGTTAAGCTCTCTCTCTGTATAGCTTTCAGACAATCGGTCACTTCAGACAACAACAACCAACACTACTACACGACTGAGTCTTCAGGTACATTTACAAAGTATCCTAGAACATTCGAGAAGCTTTCAACACGACCATTCCGGTAGAATTTCATCATCACTACATAAGCCAAGGGAATGTTCTAAAACGTTTCATGCAATGTTATCATAATGTTTAAGCATCCATGTTATCTTGACTAAGCATTCTGAGAAATTTCCAGAATATACTATTTACACCCACTATCAATAACACAACGCTGATAGTGACATGTGTACGTTCAGGTGTGCTCGTGATTCCAGAGGGTTTACCAGGACCCAATATCCCTTCTGCGATGGATATCATTACACAAACCTTTCTGGCAGGTAAATCTGTGACAATCAGTACAGTTAACGTCATTCCATTCGTAATGATGGTTTTTGAGGAAGCCAAGAGTATGAACACAATCCTCATTTCCATAGTTGTTTGGTTGACCCTTTGCCCAGTTTTTGAAATTGAATGTGCTCCCATCGCTCCACACAAACTTCCCTTCAGAGTTGATATCAGTGAGCCCCAGCCAAGAATGTTCCCCACCGTGCAGACTCTGGACATAAACGTTTTCTTCCTGGCTGTGTATGCTTGGAAGGTTCGCTCCCTGCGTAGCACATTTGCCCTGGCTGCTGCCCCAAGAATCACAAGCAGCCACTTTTCTATAGCAATATCCTCTAAAATAAGTCCAGTCGTCATCACAAATGCTGTCTGCAAATTCAACAATACAACACTATCGTTTGTTGTATCCAGATTCTCAGTATCTATTACATGCCTTTATCAGCGTAATTTTTTTGGAAAGAAAATTTGTATGAACAGAATTTGCGAGGAAAACAATAAGTAAAATATGAAAGGGGAATAAAATTTTGCGTTAATAGTCCGTGGTTAATGCCCGAACTTCCACAACTGCAACCCTTTTTATAAAATGAATAAAGGCTGATAGTTTCGAAAGAAACTGTTTGGGGCTGCGTCGGTGGGAGTAACGAAATAATTTGGATATATCAACAAAGTTGAAATGGTAAATTGGCCACCGTAATGATTACAAAAGCTGACGTTTCGAGCGTTAGCCCTTCGTCGGAGCGATTGTTGTTCAATAATACGTTTACTTCTTTCTCCTTTTTCCTCTTTCAACGCATTCCTTTTAAATAGACAGAATATACAAATCTTCAAAATAAGACTTGCAACCCCATGAAAAGCGTCATTGGCGCGAAAACACTGACCGAAAATTGGAATTTAAAAAGATATTTTACTTACCACCCATCACTGCGTAGGAAACATTCAGTGGGTCAAAGCGTTGCACATACAGTTCTTTCACACAGATTCGAAATCCAGAAGTTGTGATAGACTTATAAGGAAAAAAGATATAAAAAATACACTAAATACAAATTCTGAAACTCAAAACCCAAATAGGAGTTAAGCAAATCAACAGAGAATAACTTACCAAAAAAATCAGAGTATAGTAGTAGAAACAGAACAAAGAGATTGATATGATGACAAGAAATACACATGAGTGCATTTGATACTACACAACATCAAGCTAGCATCCAAGAAACATAAAATTATATAGGTACGTGAGTTCGCTGTGATAATTCTTAGTCTTGCAAGACCGTCGTTTTTTAAAGATCCTTCTACGACTCTAAATGAATTAATTAATTAATTAATTCCTTATTTATATTGCGCCCTTATTATACAATATTCAAAGGCGCAGTACCCCCCATTAATTTGATAGACGCTACACAAAGATAGACCACATCACCGGGCACTACGTGCCCTATTCATACAAGGGCTTGTGAGACGGGACCTCGATTTATCGTCCCTATCCGAGAAGACTAGAAAGTCTAACCGTTTGCAGATATTATTACAAAGGCAGCACTTTCTTCTCAGTCATTTAAAGACCCTGAGTGTTGGTCCGGCCGGATTTGAACTCACGACCTCCCGCACAGCAGTCCGGCGCTCTAACAATTGAGCTAACCGGGAGGCGGTTAAGACTAAAGTAATGAGCACGAAAAAAGATTATCTCCTCATAGATATTCCAGTTTCCTATTTATCAAACAAAAACAACACTAATGATTAAACCAAAATATGAAAAAAAAAAAAAAAAAAAAAAAAAAAAAAAAAAAAAAAAAAAAAAAAAAAAAAAAAAGGAACAGGTAAAGAGATAAAAACCATCGCTAAAGTGTAGAAGCAGTGTTCACAAAAAGTAAAAAAACAAAACAAAACAAAAACGAAACAAAATAGATTCCATTTTCACTTGTTCACCTCAATCCAGCTCACGATTCCATTGCACTCTGCAGCAGCATTCCCTCCACTTGTTGAATGCCTGGCAGTTACCATTATCGTGGGTGGGTAGGTGTAAGCCGATCGAAGGAAACTCACATCCTGATGATTGAAGAAATAAGCCACTAATCGATTAGCATTTTTACTGCTTTCAGGACAGGCAATCCAAAGTGCAAATTGTCGGAGCTAGGCATTTTCTCGGTTCAGATAGTTTTCCGGGATTTTTTAATCCAATTTCATGATGAAAATCAATTCAAAATTGTTTCTGAAACAATACACGGCTTTCAGAAGCGAAAGATGACTAATTTGAATTAGGGCACATCACTCACCTTACAGAAAGCGTAGTTGTAATTTATTGATGGCAAACCAACATTCGGAAAAATGACCTCGCTGCTCTCTTTAAACATCGGTCTAGGTGTTTTGCCGATTGCCAGCCAGTTCTGAGCCAAACAAAGAAAGGCACAAAGAATCAATTAGAAATGTGAACAGAGTTTTCTAGAGGAGCTTAATGCAATTTGACATTTTATCAATGAATAGTTTCTCTCTGGTATCAAATTCACATTCTTAGGCATTTATCCTATTCATCTGTATTTCTCATATTAAAAGCCGTGTATTTTTTGAGTCAATGTTAATTATTTCAAGAAAGCTATAACGTGTGTATGATAAGATTCTTAGAGATAAAAATGGAGCTGGCAATGAGCGTATCGGATTTCTGTAGAGGGTGAAAATAGCATCAAAATGGAGTTAAAAGAGAGAAAACATGCAAAACAAGATGACACATACCGAATATTTTAAATTAAAACAAGACAGACAGGAAAGGAGCTCTCTTGGTTTTCCGTATGTTCTTATTAACTTTATTTGAGTTTGACAAATCCTACCACTGATATATCATCATGAACTCCAGCGAAGTTTTGAAGCTCCCTGAGACAAATCTGAAAAGAACTATTGGAGACATCTTCAAGCCACACCGTGCTAGCATCGTGCCTGAGGCTTGATCGGTAATGGACAGCTGTGGTAAAGATTTGTGGTGGCTCAGAATACTTCCCCTAAAGATGAAGATACAAAAAAAATCAATAAAATATTATCAAAGGGTGGCGGGATTTGATCTTACGCAGGGAAGCTTTGATAAAAGGTCTAGTACCTTAAGTATGCGACCATAATTAGTTTATGTTACAGTAGCCGTATGGGGTGGGATTTTTTTCTGTGTTACGGTATATCTTGAGAGCTGCAATTCATTGAGGAAGAGCATGGAACTTTAGTTACGCTGCAACTTTCAAATAGCTAAAGTTACAATCGTTCGCCATATCCGTAAACTTGCAATTCGGTCGCAATAAACGTAAAATCAGAATGTAACAAACCTACGGCTGAGGGTAGCTTGAGGCAAAGGAGAAGAAACAAAAATGAAAACAGCTTCCAATTTAGTTTAAATCGGAGTGGTTGCTTTGCGTATAGATACATACAGGTTTTCGGGCCAGTACGAGATAAAATATGAAAGAAAAAGAAAGATTTTAGTTCTCAACTGGTAGCAACGGCAATGACCTTTAAGCTTATCAATAAGGATGAAAGAAAGAAGGGACAGATGAAAAACTACAAACACTTATTGGATCAAATTGAAAAAGGTTCAACTCATCAACTATCTGCTTAATCTCAAATATGATTATAGCAGAGCACGCACCTTTGGAAAAGAAACGGTCCGGCAGGTTGTCCCAGTCCACCATGTTAAGAATGTCTCCTCTCCTGCTACTCCTCCGGGTGGGGCTCCCTGATAGGCCACCCAGTCAATTGAAGCAAAGCTGTCTGCAGGATAATCATTCCTTCCAGCTCGAGTGACGCAGGCTGTGAACTGAGTGGTGTTGATGCTCTCTACCCAAGGCGTGGTAGCTTCGTGTACCAAAGTGTCATCAGAATAGTTGAAGTGGTTAACAGTGAGTTGTACGTAAATTTTCATATGAGGATAGAAAATAAAGGGTTCCAGGTTGATCACATCACACTGATCCTCTGCCCACGAAGGTGTGTTCTGGAACTCATGTCTTCCTTTCTGCATCGGAAAACCTACAATCACATTAGAAACCATCTTTGATTCAACCTAGGTGAAAGTGGCGTCATTATTTGAAGGTAAAATGGTGGGAAGGGTAAATCTGTAAGGGTTTAAGCAGGTAACCAACTGAAATATCCTATCATCTTTCCCATAATGATATTTCTTCCACAATTGCATGTGGAGACTAAAACAAGTGCACTCCATAACTTTAGCCATTTAAAAAGAGATTAGGCTGATGACGCCAGAAAAGGAAATTAAAACGCCCTTAATTGAAGGAGCAAAATAATTGATACTGAGATAAAGTCAGCGCCTCATGAAACAGCTGAGAATAAAACGGTAGACCTCTTAAAACCCTGTATTGCGTGAACTACTTTCTTTTACCTCTGCAGCTTCCAGGATGATAGTTAGTGTAGTTTCCACGTGTTTTACAGATCTCTTTTTTGAGGAAACACATGTTTTTGAACGTACGACCGTTGGAAGCACAAACTTGTTCCTCGTATGATGGGCAGTTGTCTTTGCAAATACAATCAAACCTCCAGGGAGTATAGGCATAGCAAAAGCTTTCGTAGGTACAGTTTACATTTCTGCACGGATCAAGATCTGAAAGGAAAAGAAATATTATGAATGTTTGAGAAATGACAGTTAAGAATGAGGAAATACATCAAAGAAAACATGAAAAAAGTTTTCATATCTACCTCCAATAACCAAATAGTCTACTGCCACATCATTCCTTTGACTATCGTACCCTGCCCAGTCTTTTATACAAATTTGAAAGTGTTTTGAGGTCACTTCCTAATGTATGATAATACAAGAGTTTCAGGGGTCAAAAAGCGCTACAAAAGTTATATGATTTAAAGTGCACCTATACCCAAAAATTTTTTTTGCTCAACGAAATAGGCGTATGTTTTGGAGTATTTCTGTACAAAAATTTTTGTATTTTCTCAAATCTTCAATTTTCTGTTCCCAGTCAAAATAAGAAAAATCGGCCGCCATCTTGGCTCACGACCGAGTTTAAAGAGGACTGGTTCTAGGGGGTAATGTGACGTCAAATCGAGAACACTTAAGTCTGCATTTCACACATTTTCACTTGTTTGGGAAGGTTGTCGTCGATATTGTCCGAAATATGCCGACTAGGTGTGTTGTATGAGAAATGTATGAAACGCGATACCCTCTTGCAAATTTCGCACGTTGCTACATCCTCCTACACAATTAGTCGGCATATTTTTAACAATATCGACTACAACCTTTCAAACAAGTGAAAATGTGCGAAATGTAAACTTTCGTGTTCTCGATTTGATGTCACATTACCCGCTAGAACCATTCCTCTTTAAACTCGGTCGTGAGCCAAGATGGCGGCTGATTTTCCTCATTTTGTCTGTGCACGGAAAATCGAAGATTTGAGCAAATCAAAAAGTTTTTGCAAAGAAATACTCCAAAAAATACGCTTATTTCGTTGAGCGAAAAAAAAGGGGGGGCTTAGGTGTACTTTAAGGACTAAACGATTATTTCACCAAGTATTTCCAAAAAACAAAACAAAAGATAGAATAAGGAGGCGGGAAAGAAGTAGAAACACAATGGTAAAATAACAATAACAAAAACAATCACAAAAAAGGAAGGAAATAAACGTACAAAAGCAAGAGGAAAGCTCATATTTACTTGAAGTATCTTAACATTTATTATGACTGGAAAGTATAAGTGAAAAACAAAACTGAGGTTGTCATGATCTGTTTGATCTCACCTCCATCCAGGTGATTAAAGGTTCCTTATGCTTTGGGCTGCAACCATCATTCGATTTATTTCCTTTAGCAGCATTAAAAACAGTTGTGAGAACTACAGGCGGCGTAAAAAAGGGCTCGTCAAATTTCACGGTCTGTCAATAAATACGTAATGAATACATAAATGAAATGTTTAATGTTTGTTTAATATTGCAGAATTTCCTATAATGGTTTCCCTCATTACTTTTTTGCAGATGCTTGTCTCACAAAAGCCTACTTTGCTTACGACAGTCACTTTCTTCGAAACTTTTCTTATGACTCGATAAGCACACTCACCCTACATAGGGCATACTTTTTTATCGCTGCTGGTAACTCCTTTTCTGAAAATATGATGCTCTTGGACTCTTTGACTCTCCATGAGGAAGGATATTTCTCAAAAGCCATCCAGTCCTTGGACAAGAAGAAAAGAAACAATTTGTTTAAAATTTATAAAGCTCGACTGACAAGCTGAACAATGAATTGGGGACACATCCACATCAAATATATTTGAGTTTGAACCATTTACATTTGACAACATTCAAACACGACACACCGAGGAAAAGATATGTTCGACAGCTAATAATAATTCTAATTATAAGAAATATTATGATAATAATAAAAATAATGATAATAATAATAAAAATGATAATAGTTATGATACATGTAATATTGATGATTATAATGATAATACAATAAAATGAAAAATAAATCAAAACATACAAAGCAACTGAAGGAGAACTGCAGATGAATAAGCAAAGGAATACAAACATTTTTCCTACAGTTTGCAAACACAAATACCTCACAGTTCGGGAAAGAAATAAAAATTAAACTGAACCGCGAAAAATATAACGGTTATACACGCAAATACTTGCCACTCTGAGTTTGTCATGAGACCCGTCAAATACCCTGGACTCACGAAGGCAGACCTCAAACTCACTTGAAGAGACATCCTCGACCCAAACTATCATGGCGTCATGTTTTTGGTCTTTAACCCTGTGCTCAACAGTGATGTGAACTTTTGGAATTGTTTTAAAACCCTTTAAGAGGAAATAAATGGAGGAAAATTACACATCAAACGTTTCGTGCTTCATATGTCTAAGTCAGCTTCCTCCACCACGTACCCCCACTGCCTTCAAAAAATAGGGGGGGAATCTTACCTTAGGGAAAGTCACACGGTTGCATTGTGATCCTGTGGTAAATTTACTAAACATGGTTTCACCCTGTTGAACTCCCGTCTGTGGGCCTTGAAATGCAAACCAGTCGATAGTGAAGTTATCCCCATCTCCTCGGCCACCTTCGACAACACAGGCCTTGAAACGATCGAATCTTACATCCTCCACCCAGACAAAGACGGAATCGTATACACTAGATGATCCGTTTCCACGGTTGACAGATGTGAATACCCGCACTGGTATACCCTTGGTGAAACTTTTGCTGAATGTGGCATACTGGCAGATGTAATCGTCGTCTGCTTGACTGAAGTGGATCTTTCCTCTCTGAACCCCTGTACGTAAGTAGAATTTATGGTCTTAGGCTAACTACGAATACTACAAGATAGCTGCGAATAAAGTAGTAATAAAGTGTGTCTAGAAATCAAAGTAATCATAGATGTTACGAAGGCAAAAGGAACAACAAAATGTCACGCACTTAATCACGTCTAGGTCCAAGTTTGCTACTTATTGTTTGAGGGTGGCTTGATTTTTTTTGACCAATCAAAGAACGTGCTGAATTACAGGAATGGAATTTCGAATTACTCAGTTTGGACACTCAGAGAGGATCTGTCGAGGGCTGAGGTTGCCAACTTAAAGAAAAGAATTCGTTAGTCGTGGTCAAGATTCCATTTCTTGGTTAAACTTTTCTTTCATAATTGAAAAAAAAAATTATCGACTGGTCCTTTACACATTGTGGTTCCCCTTGCATAGGAAGAAAAATTAAAGTAGATAAAAATGATAATTACTCTGTTTTCAATTGTTGGTTGACTCTAAAAGAAAATTCTGATACAGGTAATCGGGGTTGTTGTAGCCGGCTGCAGCCTTGCAAAGTACATCAATGAAAGATCCCTTAGCGCGGTCTCGACTCCGAGTTGAGACCACTCAAGCTTCACTGTAAAGGATTTCTTGGCTAGCTTTCTCTGGCGTAAAAACGTTTCGTCAACTTACTCGGTTTAAAAAAAGAGCAAAAATTCTAGATGTGTTACAAAGGAATACAGAAAATATTTCAGGATATTTTCTTGGATTTTTCAGTATCCGCTACACTGTCAGTAGATTATAATCTTATCACTGTGAAAGGGTTTCGAGGCATTTCCACCCATTCAATATAGTTATTCAACAAGTTTAAATATTTCTTTATCTCTGTTACTATCATCCCTAGAAAGTCTTAGAAATTTTCAAGGTTCGTCCACAGACTTTCTATATTGTTTCCCTGACCAATAAAACATTTCTGTTCATTACAACCTGACACAAATTTCTCCGTTTAAGGTCAAATAAGGAAAATATTACGATCGCATATTTATAGCTCATTTAGATTTATTTGGCGATGCAAAATTTTCCCTTTAACATACGTTGCGTTTGGATGTGTCATTGAGTCAGAATTTGGAAGCTCTGAATTTCGATGAATGCTAAACTAAATAGCGCTTGTGGAAGGCATTTGGGAGTCTTATATAAAAAAAAGAAAAAGAAAAAAAGGGGTAAAAGGTGTAAATAGTAAGATTCAGAGAAACTAACCTTTTCCTTGGACGACACTGAGGATAAAGAAACAAACAAGCAACAATGACCCTTGCCTTACAGACAGCATCATCGCTTCACTATGTCATTGATATGCACGTAGATGTAACGCGACTGCGTATGCATTAGTTTTGTGAAGCCCCTGAATCACGTGTTTCAGCGCAATATTGACAAAGATTGCTTTGACGAGGTCATTTGAACAATACCAATTAAGACAAGGAAATATCTACTTATTTTCGATAACTTATGCAAACACAGGAAGGATTCTTGTGAAACAGTGAATTTCTCGAAAACACGCAAAAGCTGTCCAGAATTTATATTGCCCGTAAGAATCTTTCAATTATTACAAATTTTCCTTTATTTCGTTAGAGACGGAGAAAAACATTGTATATTCCTTTTTATAAAAATTTCCTTATCTTGCGGAGAAGAAACTGAACACTACTTATCAAAACGTGAATTCTCTTCACATAGGAAACACATGTTTCCTATTGTAACATTCTTAGCTCTTCTTAACTCAGGCAATCCTCCAAAAACGAATGTTTAGACATGCAAAAAAAACTGAAAGCCAAATCCATTAAAAACTGAAAATTGGAAAAGGACTTGAAATGATAAATGAGATAGAGTTCGTTTAAATAATTTTTGCTCATCACGTAAACAAAAAAAGGCGAAAATTTTAGCATCAAGAATCGTTTGGCGAGATTTTTCCTTGCTCTTTGTCTCAGCTAAAGAGAGGTTAAACTGGTTAACCCTGCTTCCGGTATCTAAAATCGAGTTACGAAATAGTACTAAGTCCCAAATTAAAAAACGTATTTTATCGTATTGTTGACAACATTCCTTCCATTCACGTTTCCCCCAAAAAATGTATATCATGTAATCTAAATGTTTATTATAGGCAGGGGTCGCACTGTGGCCTTTCTTTTTTTCTAGCTCGTCATAAGCTGTCCTACAAATATGTCGCGACATTTACACCACGGGAGTCATGTAGGTCGCACTTGTGCGACATAAAGGATATTTGAAACCAGACTGTCAACTCTTAATATTTCACGCGCGAAAAGAGCCCCAAATAAAACTTTGTAGACATGAAGCTGGTGCTAGTTTTATCAGCGACATTTCTTCACTCTCTGTTTAGTTTGTTCAATGTACAAAACACTATTGATTTGCACGCATTGTACAACACTCGCCAACGGCAAATGTTGGCTCTTGCCGCTTTAAATCGATGTCGACGGATGCGAAAAATTGGGAAAATATCTGCGAGCCATCTGCGAGCCAAAGGGTGAAAACAAGCCATTCCCATACTGAGAATAATCAGGTGAATAGTGCAAATTTGTAAATTGGTATGGGTTGAAATTCGCCATAGGGACCAGATAAAACGTGTGTCGAGAAAACCTGTGACTAAAATATTGAACCGATAGCTAGCTGTGCACACGTGTTGTCCAATGTAAACACCAAAAGCGCAAGTGCGACCCCTGCCTATATCTATTTCAGTTGCATTGGGAAATGAGAAAAAATATTAGCTACGTTCGGAGACAAGATCGTCAAACAAAGAAAGATCTTTCGCTTCCGTGACTGAGGAATACTCAGACTTAGTAATTCCATGTGCTTGAAACAAGATTCAAGTTGTGACCTTTCGATTAGCACTTCGAATCCTCTACCTTATACATTGCATAAGGTACTCAGTCTAAATGAGTTACCCACTGCCGTATCTTTATGAGACAAACAGCAGAGTGGTGAGGGTTGAATGTGCCGTGTTGCCCGAACTCAGTGGCCTTGTTAATACATGTGATATCGATAACGTCCTGGACGTGATGATTGATAGTGAATTGATCCAGGGAAGACCAGTGTATCATTTCTGACGTGAGGTCAAATTCTTGATTCAAATCTTTGATTTAAGTGAATTCCGAGTTTACCAGATTGCAACAGGCTTAAGAAGAGTTCTTTTTATCCCTGTAATCATGCGAGTTATTTCTGACAGAAAACAGACGTGTATTTCATACACATTTCAAATTCATTTTACACTCTTGTGATATTTAGGAGTTTTAATCCACCAGCTTCAAATAGGTCGCACCATCTCACTCCTTCTAGTTTGTAATTGCATGACCTGCAAACTCTAACGTCGGTTGCAGCATATCCTCAAATGCTTAGACACATTAAATTGGCAGATGTTTTCAGTGGTATTCAGCGTTCGCACAGGAAGAATATCAAATACCTGCGTGTGTGTTTGAAGAAGCTCTCGTTCGTACAACGGAACATTTCTAAATATTTAGGGTTAGAACCTTTGGCTCACTAGTGGCTCTTATTTTCGGAGAGGGGACATGGTGGTGGGAAAACTCCATTACGATATGTTACGCAGTTTCGTATTATATCCTTGAATCAGTATCTGCTCTAATTCCTTTCGATTCCTTTACTGACTATTATAGTTCTGGAGTGTTACAAGTATTACAGAACCAATAATTTTGTGTCCAAAACACTAACAGCAATCATTTTATTATTACCAGAGGTATGCAGGTTGCGTATAATTTAAAGTGCCTCTGAGACGAAAATTGAACATTTAATTTTGGGCTTATTTGTCTCCAGAATGTTGAATTGGGTCTAGTTAAAACCCTTTTCGTCAGTAAGAACTCAAAACAAACCTTCGATGACCAATTTTTACCGCTTCAAAGTCGTCCAAAAATCGTCCGCCATTGACCACTTTCATAAATGGCTGCCGGATTGATATTCTTTTGTTTAAGTTTAAATTAGCCTTTCTGGCCTCGTTCTCCAGTTTAAAATTCAAAAGAATACATTACCTCAAGCAAGGCTAGTGAGGCTAATTTGAATTTAAACAAAAGAATATCAATCCGGCAGCCATTTATGAAAGTGGTGTATTCCTAAAAATATTTTCTAGCCCAGTCCGCAATCGTACAGCAGAAAACGTCATCATGAGGTCAAAGGCTCGACAAACTTATGCTTTGCTTTGTCAAAACTCTCTTTGTTCGCTGCACAGATAATCACATAGTCGAGAAATTTCAACTTTCTCTGACGATGAATTGTCCCAGAAATCATCTGAAGATTCTGAAGATAGTTTTGCGTTGGCAAACGATTAATTTTTGCCATGAGAATAAAGGTAAAGACAGAACGGCACGGACTCCCCGTGCGGCTTTTGTGGTCGCGTCACTTTATTACCTTCAAATTGTATTTTTACTTGTCGTGAGGGATTTTCCCTTTTTGTAAGAGATGATCTGATGATATATAAAAATTGTTTTCGGCAATGGCTGATTGTGTATCTAGGCGGATACTGTGAAAGCCATTTCTAAGTCATACCATCAATGATGTATTTGCCCCGATGCATTTGATCGATGATCTCATTAACCCTCTCTTACGTGTTTTTTTACTATCACTGCTTTAAGAGGTTTGAAGTAAACACTGTTGTCGAGTTGCGCTTTGGCCTCTTCTGTTTTTTCTGCCTCAATCATGATGACTGTTGTGGAATTGCTTCTGAGAAGTTAAAGCGGAGTTTTTTTTCCACTCTTTTAGAGTTATGACCTCATTGCGTTATAAAGTTTTTTTTTTTTTTTGGCAATCAGTTTGATATGAAATTGAAGTGCTTCTTAGAAACCATTTTTTTTTTGGCATTCAGTTTGATATGAAATTGAAGTGGGTCTTTGTTTCATCCGGGAAAGATGTATAGCAGGTGCATTCGTCTTGCGAATAAATCTCGTAAGAGTTGGCCTGATTTTACATTCGTTTGTCAAGGGTGTTGGGATGAATTTGAGACCCTTTGATAGCACTGACTGTCAGATGGTTGATAGTTTGGAAATGTTTTAATAATTTTTCACTTTTCTCCGTTTCTTTGCCTGAAGCCTACATTTTAAAGTGTTTCTATGCGCTTTGTGTCTTAAGCTGTTTGTTCTGCTTTCGCTTATGTTAAAGCCAGCTTTTTCAGAGAACACACATATTTTCCATCTCTTTTGTTCAAGAGTGAGTTCTTTTGGGTCAGAAATCTTATTCCTTAATTCGACTATTTTATCGTTCTTATTTACAGTGTTCACCGAGTAATTTCCTTTGTGTAAAGTATTCTGCCAGAGAGCTGTTAAAGGCAGATATTGATCAGCTCACATTTAAAGGTGACAAAACACGTAGACCTCCCTTTCGTTAAGATCGCATTGAGAACGGTTTTTCTTGTCCCTTTTTTTTTCAACGGTAGGCACTGAACCCAGCAAAATTCTTCGCCAAGACCCTCCGAAGTGCACAGATCTCTCAAAACACTCTTCCGAAAAGTGTTCGGACCAGATCACAAATACTCCTGCACGATTGAAGTTTTCCACACGGGTTCACATAAATCGCACCCGTTTTTCCCGCTCTGACCTATTTACAAGCCATCGATGCAGAGAAATACCACCAGCATGGTCTGCGCGATTGCTACAGCCTTAAATTACACATAAATTCCCCGTAATTTTTGTATATGTTTCCTTAAGAATAGAGTAACGTTCTGTTATGTTTGTTTGATATTTTGCAGTGTAAGATTTTTGCGTTGAGTCTTTAAATTTGACGCCACTTCCTCGGAGTCTTACGATCAATTTCCGGAACATAGTCAAATAATGGCGGGCGCGAAATCGCGAATTTAACGGCCCAAAAAAGGATACTTTTGGTGCTCGGACTAAATCGAAATTTAGCAGGGTTGATAGAGGAGACATACTAAACACGAAAGTGAAAAATAAGACGCACGAAAATTTTGATCTCAGGGGCACTTTTATACACGGACCTAAACGAATAATCAACGATGTTGTTTTTTTTAAAGGGTGCACACCATTTAATAATAATAATAATACTAATAATAATAATAAATAATAATAATAATAATAATAATACTAATAATAAATAATAATAATAAACAGTTTAACGTGGAGAAACACTTAGCTAGAAGCAAGTTTACAGGTTTTTCACGAAAGAACTTCAACAAATAATTCAAATTGAAAATAACGTTGTTAAGAATCGCAACTGGCCGAAGGCAAACCAGTTGGCTATATTACAAGTATGGCCGAGGATTTAAAACTCGGGACTAGAACCCGGGAGCGACGGATTGCAAGACCGACACGCTGACCACTCGACCATG